CCACAGCAGGCTGCACTTATCCAAGATAAGACTTTCAAATTCCTTAGTTTATTCTCTCACATCCATACTCTTTTAAGCTCCCTCCTTGAATCTTCATTATTTATTATACGAATGACCAGAGAAATGAAACATTGGAAAGATTTTCTACTAAAATCTAGTGCTAATACTCTCTGAAATTAATAAAATTCCTCAAAAATATTCCAGAAGAGCAGAATTCCTTCCCTAGGCTATGGTTTTTAGCTTCCACATTCTTCCCTGTAACAGGCACTGGCTGCAGAAGCAGTTCTTATTTGCTTCCATCACTCACAAATGCAGATCTCTCCTGCCCTGTTGTATCTAAGGAATGGCATTTACCTGATAACTGTAAGATACTTGGCATGGAAATCTGGCAAGCTATGCAGAGACGAGGTTTAATTAGATGGTGATTCATTTACTGAAGGGGATAAAAAAAACCTTTGCATTTTTCACCAGATACATCCTGTGAACATTAAACACGAGTGCCACAACCAAATGCTCCTTTTGGCATGCCAACGCCGTGTGCCTTTCCCCTTCCTGCTTTGTCTTGCGCAGATTGATGTATCCAGGAATGTGGTACTGTGCTTATTAAAGGCTGAAATTATCCACTGGGTGGTTAAAAAACTGCTAATTCTGGCCAATGAGTGAAATAGCTGGTAATTTTGTAAAGTACTCTTAGACAAATAAGAGTTTTTGGCAGCCGAATGTTGATGTAGCAGAATGTGCTTTTCTGATTGACATATGCTAACAATACTGCCTCCACAATCAGGGGGAGGATAATTTACTTTTCATTTCCATTGGAAATGAGGTGAACCAGAACGTGGTAGCTTGTTAAATCCCAGCTATGTGGGATTTGCTCAAAACCACAACTCAAACGATGCTCTGCATCCTCGGTCCTCTCCAGCATCACTTCCAGGAAACCAGCAAAGGCAGATTTCCTCCTGAGATAGTTTTCAGATCCTTTTTGGGTTTCTCAATCATTTCTCAACCATTTCCCAAGGCTTGTGCTCAAGGGGTGGCTGGACCGGAGGAGAGCTCTGCACTGAGAATCCTCCTCAGTGGAAAGCAGAAAGGCTGACAGCCAGTTCATACCATTTCCCAGCCGGAAAGCAGGTGTGCAGCAGGGAAATGAAGTATGAGAGAAGCTTAATCATCCTGGTGAGGTTTTACAGTCTCACCATCATCCACACTTCTCTCCATTTTAGTTGTCCTTCTCACATCCCTGAAGATGAAGGGGTCAAAACTGCTCTGAGCATCCCAGCTCCCTGCTGGAAGGGGCCGTGTCTCCAGAGATGTGGCACTGACAGAGAGCAAGAACTTGGCTCTGCTGTCACCTCATTTATCAGGCAACAAGGGAACATCTCTGGTCTCTGCCACAAAACCACTGTCATAACCCAGGGCTAAAATTAGCCCTAAATATTAGTTGTTCCCCACATCCGCTCCTGCCGGCAGGGGATCCCAGCTGCTGCTTCATGGGATGCTCCACGCCGCGCTGCTGCTGCGACCAGCATTTCACTCTTCATTTGCTTTGTGGGACTTTATTTACTTATTTAGGAAAGAAAAAGCCTGAGGGAGGACACAAGACACATATTCAAGAATATTTTACGCTCTCAGTAATGGAACATTTTCTCAGCAAAACCCTTTCAAAGAAAATATTATGAGTAGCTCTGATTCGCGGCTGTTTGTCGGTATAAATACTTGCAGTGGAAGTGTTTAAGTTGCTGCTGTAACTCCAGGAAAAACCTTTAGCCTAATTTTTTTACTTTCAACCACTCAAGTGCTCCAAGACCTTGTAGACCCTCCTCAAACACTCACTAACAGTTCCATACCCTTTCACAGCCACGTGCTGACGGAGCAAGGGAACAATCAGCTGAAGCAATTGAGTTTTGCTGTAAGTGCCTGTAACTGATGTAGTATTTCTCCTCCTTTCCTTCAGATACATATATAACAAAAGCCTGGGCTTGTAGGAGGGGTGGAAAAAACATCTTCTTGTAGTGGTCTTTAAGTTTCTATTCCTACAGAAGCTGCCTTGGAGCACAAAAGAATAAGCCTTCATAAAACTTCTGGTTTAGAGGACTCATAAACCCTGCCAGGGAATCCCTGAGTGAAGTTATAAGCTCATCTTCTCCATCACCATTATAAGTGGATGTCTGCTTTTAGTGGTAACCCAGGGAAACCACAGCAACCAGATAATTTGAGGGACAACTTGGCAAAAGCAAATCACGTCAACGTGAACGTCAGCGGAGCCAGGGAGCAGTTTTCTATACAAAAGATATAGGAAGAGTCACAAAGCCAAGAGCTGGCTTCTGCTTTTGTATCACTTGATGTTTCTGGTCCACCCCCTCCATGTCTCTCCCATGTTTCTGTTTCAAAGGAAGAGGAGAGTGATTCAGGTCTCTGAGTGTTACTGTTCAGCTGGTGCTGGAAGTTGTTTTGTATGAGACAGAACACTATATGGTCCTGAGGACTAATCCTACCCTACAGATGCTACCAGACTTTAAGGATTGAACTGATTACCGGAGTGACAGCAGCGTGGAAGTGGGTTAGTGTTTCATTCTCTCCTGCCAGTGACAAACATTGCAGTATTGGATTTTCTCTCTTTTTTTTTAGGAGGATTTAGCACAGTTACAGAGTTTGAGGTGCTGGATTTTTTTACACCTGAGAGCAGTCAATGCTAAGCCTTTCCATGCACAGCTTTGTGCTTCTGCACTGTGCTTATTCTGCATGCCACTGTCCATCATGGTGCTGAGCAGAAACCTCAGATCTGGTGGGTTTACACTGATGCAAACACATGAATTTTAATGGCGAGGAGAATCAGACTGAACCATGCTTTGTGAACAGCAGACATCACAGAATCAGACCACTTTTAGTGCATGCAAGCAGCCCTGAGTACAGAATTAGTTTAGATGCAGCACTGCACAAGCTGTCCTTTCCATGATGAGCCAACATAACACCTGAGACTTTCAGAGTCAAAAATGAACCTGGACACGGTCTAAATCCTCCTTCCCAGTGATCTGTAAAGGTATATAAGGACCCAAAGGCTCCCACAGCTGCTCACTGACACTTTAGTCCCATTGATGTCACGAGTGTCAGTACTGGGCTCCAAACTCGCACAACCCAGCAAGCAGCTTCCTAGAAAAAGCACTGAGTATGGAGGGTTTGCAGGAGGGGGATCAGCTTTTCCAGCCTTCCTAGTCCTCAAGAGTTTGTGTTTGCAGATAATTCCTTCCATAAATTAAAACCTTCTGCTTCTGGGGAAAACACTGATTATTTTTTTTTTTAACTATATGAAAGTTTTGGTACAAATCAAGCCATGGGGAAAAAATCTTTCATACAGCAGAAAGCTTTCACTTTTACCATAACGATTCATAAAAAGGAAAGTCAGTGCTATTCTGGACAATTGGCCAAGCTCTTTAGAGATTTCACAATAGAATTATGGAACGAATCAAGGCTTTAAAGAAAGGTCGGAAAAGACTTTTTGAGTTCTGTGTGATTACATTAGGCAAGGCTAATTTATAGCTAGGGCAAAGGTTTTGAATGAAAGCAAAGAAACTCTGAAGCACAAGTGGCAGAGTGAAGCTTTTTGAGACTTGTTTCCTTTTACTGATGTGCAAATATCGTTCTGCTGTAGGAAAGGAGGAAATTCAGGTGCTAAACACAGAAATAGGAATGGGGACCTACAGGGCTCCTTTCTTAGTCTGACCCAGTAAGTCTGAGCAGATCATTCCACCCCAGGGTGCGCCAGCTCAGCCCAGCTACATCTTGAATAGATGAAATAGGTCCTTTACAAGCACAAATTACTTTCTCAGTTAAACCATGTCATTTTGTACCAGCTGAGAACTTGATCCTTACTGCTTAATGATCTTCCTTAGCCTCTCAAGGTGACTCCAAAAGATAACTCCTCTTTATATGGAGGAGGCCTCTGAGATATCTTAAAAGCTTAGAAAACCACTATATATATAACAAAAGAAGCCATTAACAGTGCGTGATGGTGAGGTGTGTCTAGGAACTTTCTCAGTCCAAAGAGGAGCTCTATTATTATCGCCAGCGTAAATGAGAGATGATGTTCTTCTCACGGTGTGGGTTGCGCGAGACGAAACCCAGCTGGTACTTTTGCTAAACACATTGAGTTCTGGGCACAAAACTGTATAGAGACAGCTCACCATCCCACCACAGCAGCTCACCATCCCACCATGGCCGCCTCACCACAGACATACAGGCAAATCCCACACATGCCTCTATTTCCCTGGCCTGCCATTTGTTAAGCTCAGCTCCAGCAGGGTTTCTAGACAGCCCATAAGGCCTGACTCACAAAGTCTTATTTGAAATGAACAGCGACTTGCACTTGATTCAATCACTGCTTAATTTGATCCTCCATTTAATTTTATCAAAACTGTAGTAATCAAATAATTCGTACTAAAACCATTGCAACTTCCACTTGTTTATTCTGGTCAATTTTAATCCTTTAAGGCACAAGGTTTACTGGGTAATTTGGTTATGAGATAACAAAACGCTGTCATTAAGTACACAAGGAAAAGAGAGACCATAAAAAAAAAGGAAGTAAAAAACATCCCAAGGAGTGCTCGTAATAAAGAAAAAATACAGTAACATGCTGTTATTTAGGAGTCACACTAAGCACAATGAATGCTAAGAAGCATCCTGCTGTTCCTGAGATGAAAAGATCAATGGCATGTTTCAGCTGAGACATTTCTGGCAATGAACTGCACTGAAAGAGGGAAGCAACATAAATGAATGTGACTGAATTAGGGGGTTTTGAGTGTTAACCCATGTTAATGAACGTATATCAGTAGCGTATGAGTTTTCTCTCTGTGCAATACATCTTCAAAAGTCAAACCCAACAGAGTAAAAGGAGCGAAAACATTTCCGCTGCAGGCTGTTTCTCTGTTGCTTAGAGAAATAAAACCCAATCTCCTGCTCCATTGATCCTGCTCATGCCTTAACCGTGCCACTTCTCTGCTCTGCAGGTCAACACTTTCATCTCCTTCGTGTTCCCAATGGTCGTCATTTCTGTGCTCAACACCATCATTGCCAACCAGCTCATGGTCATGTTCAAGCAGGCTGCCCAGGAAAACCAGGTCTGCACCATCGGTGGGCAGCAGACGATGCTCAGCATGTCCATGGAGCCCAACCGTGTGCAAGCCTTGAAGCACGGCGTGAGGGTCCTGCGTAAGTACTGTCATATTTTGGCATGGAACTGGCTATAGTGTCGAAGTAAACACAATTTGAAGAGTAATAGATTGAAACTGATAAACACTTCCTTCCTAAACCTATTTTAAATGAAAATTAGCTCTTTTTGGAAATCCAAATTGCCCACAAATGCTTTGATATTTTCAAACACTGTCCTATTCTTGTACCATAGACACAAACTTTGGAAATTTAATTTGTCCCCTTGCTCTCTTTCCTTCTCCATCTTTTTCTTTCTAAGTCACCGAGAGTTTTCTAGGGAATTTTATCCTCTATTTCCCATTATTTTCTTTTCCTCCTAGTGTCACTTTTCTGAGTTCTAACCTCCCTTTAAAGGACTTAAAAAAAATCATAGAGCAAAAGGAAGAGGTCTAAGTATTATTTAGTTGATTGTGCTCAGACAAAAACCCCAACATTTACGTGGATTTCATGTTCTGTGAAACAGAAACAACCTGATAACATCAAGCTTTCCTCTTCCTTCTTCTGTTTCTGGCCAGCTCTACCCTGAACCCTCTGCCTCTTTCAGCTGGTGCTGGATTTAGGCTTTGAGTGTGACCAGGGGACTGATGTTGTTTTAGACCCAAACTCACTTTGTTTGAAGAGTTGCACTTTACCTTCTCCCACCAGCTATTGGGCACCCAGTGTTTTGCAGACTATTTGCAGCCATAATATCTAAAAAGACATATTTTCCCCAAGCCTAATCAGTCTGGCTGTGTTCAAGATTAATCAAAACCCTTATGTATTTATATTAAAAAAAATGCTGCTTCTTATATGATTTTTAACTAAATCTTGCAGCCCTTTGAGGGCTATTGAAACATCTTTCAGCCAAATTCCCAAGCCTTGTTGTGGAAAATAGCTTTACTTCTATTTATTTCACATACAATAGAGAGCTCACATTTGCACATGTGATGTCTCAAACAACATTTATAACTGGGAACATAAGTGGCCATTTGTGACCTGCTTAGGTTGGTATTCATAACTTCACGGAGAAGCTAGACAGAACTGTGAACAGAAAGAGATTCAGTTTAGGGTTTTTTAGTCTTCCAAACAGCCACATTTAAGGTAATCACAAAGAAACTTCTTCTTTTGCCTTTGTCTGGTGATATGTAGAGGTAAAGAACAGACCTGACCACAGAGACTCTCTGAAAAAGCAAAACTAGCCCAGCATTTTAATGATTTAGTCAGCAGCAACTTGAGCCTTGCCTATTACCTCTTCTTTTACTGCAGGGCTTTGGTCCAGACAAAGGTTAAATAAAAGATCCTGCACCGAGGAACTGAGCTGTGCTGCAAAATGCTGGATGGCTTAATTAAATAAGCTGAGGAAAAGACCAAAGTGTCGGGTAGCTTAAACAGACACATAATGCAGCAAAAGTTGTTCAAAAGCAGTACCCAAAAATAACTGACAAACTGTGATTGTTTGTTATTAACAAACTTTAAGCTGTGAGAGTCGCATAAGATGGGGAGGGTTAGCTAGCAGGGAGCTTTTTGGCTGGTGCTTTTCATGGCAAAGGTCTTGGTAGCTGAAGTGCTGTGGCCAAGGCCACACTTCCAGCAAGGAAATAAATCCCTCAAGAAGGCACTAAGAATCTCCACAAGATTTTTCCAGCTGTTTTTCACACAGGATGTGTCCTATGCAGCGCACTATTCCCACATCATGTGCATCACAGCTCCTAATAGCATGCTGGGAAATGCCTACTGAGAAAAAGAAGAAAGAACACCAGAAGACATGGAATTCCCCATAAGTATCTTGTTGGACTGGGATATTTACTGTTTCTGCATCCTTTATCCACAGGGGGATAAAGCGTGAGCCTTGCTTCAGGGCTGAGCCTGCAAGGATGGGGATGTGCATGTCACTTGGTTCCCTGCTTACTTTTTCTGTTTCCTAGCGCTTCCTCCTGCTGCCATTAAGTGAGAAGTTGCCTTTTCTCACTTGTGCTACAAACATCTCACACCTTTCTCTCTCTTTTTAGTATTGTGTACTCTTTAAACATCAAGAAGAGAGAGCTTTTCATGAATAATAAGTGCGAGACCTGAATTTACACCTGCCATTCTCTGGCATTGCTTGGTGGTGGTGGAAGACCATCACTCACCAGCAGGTCCAATAAGTTTAATTTCCTTCTCCTTCCCCAGGCAAACTTTTGCTTATGTACTGCAAAAGCTGAGAAAAGTTAGCAAAAGTGAAGGTTTTCCAGTATGTAGCCTGAAATGGTGCAGAAGTGGGTCAGATGTGGCACCGTGGGGCCTTATGGCAGTGATGCACAGATGTTAAAGCATCACTGTAGTGCCACCCCAGCAACAGGACTGAACTCCCTTCCCTACTGGGAAAGCAATGAAAGAGCGGCTGCTTCCTCCTTCTCTGCACTGAGGAAGACCCAGCAAATAAGAAATTCATCATCAGTTTTGTCTGTGATTCACCACATGATGCAGAGAGGCTTTTTTTATCTACCAAGCGTGAGTGAAATCCTGCTGCATTTCATTTTGCAGATGCACTTGATTACTGGATGTGATTGGCTCACATTTCCTTTTGTCACCTATTCCTTATAACTCCTTTTTCTTTCAATAAATCAGGCCTGTGAGCTGTCTGAAAAGCAGCAAAATACACAAGGACACAAAGGATTTAACCTGGGACCCATGGCAGCCAAAACCACGTACGCAGTCTAGGCTCATATATGGAAGAGGATGGGAATAGAAAAACGGCACTTGTCTACACTAATAGAACTGTTGGCACAAAATCAGAGCTTCACAGGGGTCAAGTTATTTCCCATTTCCAAAAGTGAACTTTGGCTTGAAGTACAAAGAGCTTGATACACTTTTTTAAGGTTGAAATGTTTCAGAACTAGTGCCCAAAAAAGACCTTTTTTTTGCAGTTCACGGTGTGCAGAGCTGTTGGATGAGATCAGAGCAGCAAACACCTTCCTCTTTCCTCCAGGTCTGCTGAGATGATGTATTTATTGACAATGAAGTAGGAGCTAAATCTATCAGGTTAACAGCTTCGTTCAAAACATGCACAGCATCATTTGGTAGCGTTTGAGCATTCCTTGGCTCTGTCTGACTTTGGTCATGTACAAAATAATTACGGAGATTGGGATCAAGGAACGCATCAGCCCAGCTGCCAGGGAGCCACCTTGTTAATTCAGTCACCATGTGATTCCTGATTGTAATTCCCTCTCTGCTGTCAGCATTCACCAGGTGTGAGGATCCAAATTCAGGCAGCTCAATGCACTGGCAGCTTCCCAGCCCTTTAGTGAGGGTAACAGGGAAAGTCTGCATCAGCGCTGCTGCTAAATGCCTCCCACCACCAGATTTTGTGCCTTCCTTCATCCATCCAATATTCCATCTTTCCAATTGCAAACCACGTCCAATCTTTGTTATTACTCCTTGGCTAAACTGCAGTGATGAGAGCTGATTGCTTGGGCGATGTGTGTTGCTTCATGGAAGGGTGAGTGTTCTCTGATTGCCTGATGAGTTGGTAACATCCTAAATGAATCTTAGAGCCGTGCACACACGTACCCTTCAAATAAGCAGCCTTCAGTAGGTAAAACCTCGTGTATGCTGTGCACACTATTGCATGCTGTATCCAGACATAGAAAGACAACATAAATCTTCCCTATCTGTCTTGCATTTCCAAGCAGCACTGAAAAATCAGGTGATATTTGAGCTTGGTTCGGGCTGAAAGCACAGTTTGGGCAAAATGTCTTCTCAAAAAGGGGCAGTTTTGTGACAAGGATTAAATGCCCCATCAATACACCAGCCTGCAGCCCATTTTTCACTGAGCAGCCCTCAATGCCTCCCTCACTGCCTGTCAGATAGGTTCTGGCTGTGGATGGAAGGAAGGAAGGAGGTACTGGGTGGCACAGCTCAGCTCTGAGAACGTTGAGACAAAGTGATGGGCATCAAGAGGAGGCTTTGCATGTCCCTGGGTGGACATTGGCTAAGCCTATTAAAATGCAATCAGTTCCAGGTACCATTTGCTCCATTAGAGAAGCTGCTTAGTGAAAGCAATTCTAAAGGACTTGGAAAGATTTAACCAATTAAAAGAATATCCTTTGGTCTCCCACAGCTGGCTGGGTGATGCCTCCTTAAGGGGTTTCTTAGGAGCCGAAGTCAGACTGCATTCTTTTTACTGAAAATCCAAGAATTTGTAAATTATGATTTTTGGGGTCTGTATTTCTTCAAGTAACACTAGACAAAGGCCAAGCATTAATGAAGCATCCATGCAGCCTGCATTTCATTAACTTGTGCATTAATAGTTCTCTTTCTGCAGGAATGTCTCGAAGAGTTCATTCATTTCTCCTCTCTGATGTTCCAAGTCTGAGCTATCTGTTTCAGGAGAATATTGCTGTGAGATTTAGTGTAATCATCTCACAAACAGGAATTACAAATAGCTAATACTTGGCAGCTGCAATACACAGAAGAGCACCAGTCTGCAAATGTGCTCCTTAGGCAGATATAGTTCGTAATTCCTATATACTAAGGGAATCAGATTTGCCCATGAACCATTTCTTTTGGAAGAAAGGAACTAAATTCATGGCAGTTTGTCTCCCTAATAAAAAGCCTGAGCAGCTCCAAGTGGAGCTCAGCAAAAGCGCTGTGATATTAAGGGTGAGTGGAAGCTGGGTTTAACAGCTCAAGTGTCACACTGAAATCCGGGAGGATAAATTAGCTATAGGACAGTTGTATATATTTCCCTGAGATGTTTGTACGTGTAGGTTTACTTTAGAGCCTGCCAAGTGACATCAAGAAAGCAGTATCAGAGCGCTCTATAAACACCCTCTGAGGAGCAGGAAGGGGTGATGGCTGTACCTCTCAGGACAGGGGTACTCTTTGTTCTCCTCTCCTAAGCCATGTCCTTTCTCTGGCACTGCAGCTCTGGCTGCAGCGGATGCAGCTGGGATTCAGGCTCCCGTGGCTGCATCTCTGAAGACAACTCTAAGGCTTGTCTTGTCCAGCAAGTGGATTTTCCAGGTGTAAAACCCTGTCAA